AAAGTATTTCTTCTCCTATGCCAAATCAAAGTCGAGAACAACGTCCAGTATTGGGCCCCTACTTAAACAAGATGGGTCCTACACAGATGACAGCAAAGAAATGAGTGAGCTACTCAAGTCCCAATATGGCTCAGTTTTTAGCAAGCCGCTAACCAGACTGAGAGTCGAAGATCAAAATGAATTTTTTATGAGAGAGCCACAAAATTTGGTTAACACAAGCCTATCCGATGTTATCCTGATGCCAAATGACTTCGAACAGGCGATAAATGACATGCCCATGCACTCTGCCCCAGGGCCAGACTCATGGAACTCCATGTTCATCAAGAACTGCAAGAAGCCCCTATCACGAGCCTTTTCCATCCTATGGAGAGGGAGCATGGACACGGGGGTCGTCCCACGTTACTAAAAACAACAGACATAGCCCCACTCCACAAAGGGGCAGTAAAGCAACAGCAAAGAACTACAGACCGATAGCACTAACATCCCATATCATAAAAATCTTTGAAAGGGTCCTAAGAAGCAAGATCACCACCCATCTAGAAACCCATCAGTTACACAACCCAGGGCAACATGGGTTTCGAACAGGTCGCTCCTGTCTGTCTCAACTATTGGATCACTATGACAAGGCCCTAAATGCACTAGAAGATAAAAAGAATGCAGATGTAATATATACAGACTTTGCAAAAGCCTTCGACAAGTGTGACCATGGCGTAATAGCGCACAAAATGCGTGCTAAAGGAATAACAGGAAAAGTCGTTCGATGGATCTATAATTTCCTCACTAACAGAACACAGAGAGTAGTCGTCAACAGAGTAAAGTCCGAGGCAGCTACGGTGAAAAGCTCTGTTCCACAAGGCACAGTACTCGCTCCCATCTTGTTCCTCATCCTCATATCCGACATAGACAAGGATGTCAGCCACAGCACCGTGTCTTCCTTTGCAGATGACACCCGAATCTGCATGACAGTGTCTTCCATTGCAGACACTGCAAGGCTCCAGGCGGACATCAACCGAGTCTTTTAGTGGGCTGCAGAAAACAATATGAAGTTCAACGATGAGAAATTTCAATTACTCAGATATGGTAAACACGAGGAAATTAAATCTTCATCAGAGTACAAAACAAATTCTGGCCACAATATAGAGCAAAACACCAACGTCAAAGACCTGGGAGTGATCATGTCGGAGGATCTCACCTTCAAGGACCATAACATTGTATCAATCGCATCTGCTAGAAAAATGACAGGATGGATAATGAGAACCTTCAAAACTAGGGACGCCAAGCCCATGATGACACTCTTCAGGTCACTTGTTCTATCTAGGCTGGAATATTGCTGCACACTAACAGCACCTTTCAAGGCAGGTGAAATTGCTGACCTAGAAAATGTACAGAGAACCTTCACGGCGCACATAACAGAGATAAAACACCTCAATTACTGGGAGCGCTTGAGGTTCCTAAAACTGTATTCCCTGGAACGCAGGCAGGAGAGATACATGATTATATACACCTGGAAAATCCTAGAGGGACTAGTACCGAACTTGCACACGAAAATCACTCACTACAAAAGCAAAAGACTTAGCAGACGATGCAACATCCCCCCAATGAAAAGCAGGGGTGTCACTAGCACGTTAAGAGACCATACAATAAGTGTCAGGGGCCCGAGACTGTTCAACTGCCTCCCAGCATACATAAGGGGGATTACCAACAGATCCCTGGCAGTCTTCAAGCTGGCACTGGACAAGCACCTAAAGTCGGTTCCTGACCAGCCGGGCTGTGGCTCGTACGTTGGTTTGTGTGCAGCCAGCAGCAGCAGCCTGGTTGATCAGGCTCTGATCCACCAGGAGGCCTGGTCACAGACCGGGCCGCGGGGGCGTTGACCCCGGAACTCTCTCCAGGTAAACTCCAGGTACTCCAGGGTACTTCCCACACACCAACCAGGGAACTTCCCCACATACCAGACAGGGTACTTCCTCACACACACGATTTGATTTGATTGGGACTTGTGCATGAGTGAATAGAATTATCAAAGCTTTTTGCTTGGGAAGCATTGAAAATTGGGTTGGGCAAATACGATTCTGTTATTGGGATGGTTTGTGAAGGACCTGCCTAGTATGGTCCAACAGATCTGCTGCAGTGTTCCTGCTTTCTTATGTGCAAACATTTATGGATGAACATCACCCTGACATAGCTGTTGCAGGCTGTGCTGGCAACATCTACAATGACAATGTTGTGTCCCATTTTAGGGAAATCTTAAAGAGACACCAGAAACAGAGCTCTCTGGACAGGTTTTTGGTGTGACAGGGGTCCAGTGACTCTCAAGCTGGTCCTAGTGGCATTATAAAACAAAGAAGGGAGGTAACCCCAGAAAAGGACTTGTTACCTGAAGTCTTTGTGGAAGGGGATTCCCCTTCCAAACAATTGTAAACTCCTCCATCCTCTGCCCTCCTCCCATCTCATCACTCATCAATACATCTTCAATAAAGGTAGGTGTCAATTCAGTATTGTTTGTTCTGCATGTCTTATTGTTTTCTATGTAGGGAATGTTTATTTAATGTAAAAAATTATTTTGTTTAATACTTTTGGGTGTCTGGAACAGATTAATTGGATTTCCATTATTTCTTATGGGGAAAATTAATTCAGATAGCGAAAAAATCAGCTAAAGACATGCTCTCTGGAACGGATTAATGTCGCTACCTGAGGGTCCACTGTAAAAGTATGTCAGCATACATTTCCAAACAGCTATTTAAGTTATTTTAGTTTATGTTATGCCACCCTAGCCTCAAAGAAGGGTCTTTGATTTGATACCATTGAGGGGCTCATGATCCAAGAAGTTGTGCCTTGCTCATCCTTCAATTGAAATACATTGCCTCCCTTTCCATCAAATGCTATGTGATCCCTATGGGTGTTGTACTTTTCAATGAATGTAATAATAATTTAACACTAACCTAAAGTATATGCAATTTGATGGTGAACAGTGTCTTCATGGGAGGGAGGGACGGTGCCCTAATGCTGGTGAGGGGGCTCTTGGTTCAGAAATTGGAGCTACCTTCTCCTTGAATGGCATCTGATTAATTCCCATTCCCCATGTGCTCTGTGACCTTTATATGTTTAGTGCTTCCCCAAGAATATAATATAATAATGTATCAACCCTGAGGTTTAGAAATTACTTGGAGTATACTTGGAGAGTATTCCAAGGGTCAGCACCCCTGCAGCCTGGTCCATGACCAGGCTCCATGGTGGATCAAGGCCTGATCAACCAGGCTGTTACTGCTGGCTGCACACAGACCAACATATGAACCACAGCCCAGATGGTCATGTATTGCCTTTAGGTATCTGTCCATCTCCCTCTTGAAGACAGCCAGGGGTCTATTGGTAATCCCCCTTATGTATGTTGGGAGGCAGTTAAATAGTCTTGGGCCCCCAACATTTAATGTGTTGTCTCTTAACATACTCATAGCGCCCCTGCTTTTCATTTGGGGGATGTTATACCGCCTGCTGAGTATTTTGCTTTCATAGGGAATAATTTCCATGTGCAGATTCAGGACTAGTCCCTCTAGGATTTCCCAAGTGTATATTATTATGTATCTTTCTTGTCTGCATTCCAAGGAGTACACATTAAGGGACTTAAGTATTCCTAGTAATTAGGTGCTTTATAGTACTTATATGTGCAGTGAAAGTTCTCTGTATATTCTCCACATTTACAATTTCACCTGCCTTGAAAGGGGCCATTACTGTACAGCAAAATTTAAGCCTAGAGAGAACAAGCAATTTGAAGAGAATCATCATTGGCTTGGAATCCCTAGTTTTGAAGGTCCTCCTAATATCATCCTATCATTTTCCTGGCAGATGTGGTAGATTCATTGTTGTGATCTTTGAAAGTGAGATTCTCTGACATTGTCATTTCCAGGTCTTTCACATTGTGTGGGTACATACTTTGGCACTGTATGATCCATTATAGTTCATCTCTTGTAATTTTTTTTATTAGTAAAGTATTTTGATATCTGTCTACTAATTATTATTACTTAACATTTATGGGGAGCACTAAACCCATTGGGGTCATACAATGGAAGGTAGTTACAATTCCTTGGATCAAGAGACCTTCTCTGGCATCAAGGCATCACCTGCCTTGAAGGGTAAATGATTCACTAATCTATCTGTATACTCTACTTATATAACTTTTAAGGTATACAAGTAGAGTTTTAATAGCAGTGAAAGGCATTTGATCGAGAGAATAGGAGGCACCCTCCCCTTCCTTGTGCTTTCTCCATGATTATAATTACTTAACATTATTCATTCTGTATGGCGCTCCTATTACTTTAGTACTCCCATGAGGTTTAGCGCTTAGTTTTGAGTATAATAATAATAGTAATGCTCCCATGAATGTAATAATTATCTATAGATCTTTTCAGAGGATCCATAGATAATTATTAGATGCTGGTGAGAAGCTCTTATCTAAAGAATTTATGATGCCTTTCCTTTCATTGGAGCAAATTTAATTGCCTCCCATTTCCCTGGTGCTGTATGACCCTTATGGGTATACCACTTCCCCATGAATGTAATAAGTGTTATAATATTTTTTCAGATGGCCTGACCGTCCTTAAATTATATACTATTTGAGGAAGAGTTAAACCCACAGGGTTATATGGTGCGTGAGGAAGGGAATGAGTTTGATCCAAGTCGGGGGTAATTCCAATGCCCTGGGTGAAAAACCCTTCACCTGCTTGAAGGCACTGCTTCTGAAGGATTCACTCTGTAGATAAATCGTTCAGAGAACCGACAGGTTGATGAATTAAACACGTGCAACACTTGAGTATCTTTATTGAGGAAACTTTTCGCTAACCAGTGGCTGCCTCAGTCCAATATAGAGAAAAATGGCTGAAGATCACAAGTAGTTTGAGGTAATTAGTCCCTCAGCCTGGAGTCGATGTGATCAGTCCATCAATATTGAAGGACTGATCACATGGACTCCAGGTTCACTCATATTTGCCGCGGTGAGAGACCGTCTCGTCTGCTAAGGTTGCTGGCAGACGACAACCTCATTTACAAAATCAACCAGATGAACGTGTTCGTAATATAAGAGCACACTTTCTGTGTTATAGAGATTTTGATCGTTCAATCATTCGTAGGTGTTATGTTAATAAATAAAGTGAAGGATGGGTGTGAGCATTTTTCTTGCCTTCCTAACGTCCCTAGTCAATGTTTTGATGCAAGTTCAGTGTGGATCGTTGAACCTGGAGTATTACTAATTTAGTGAAATATACCATACATGCGACCTATACTAATTTAAACATTGGACGCTTATTTTGACTGGCAGATTCTGCGCTACGATACGAAAAAAATCGCCACAGATTGGCAGATAATATATATTTTGAGTGGTGAGAGCACAGACTGAAACATTAGAGGACAGTTCCTCTTCAAGACTACAAAAATCTCAAGTGTATTTGCTTAACAACACTCGAGGCTGGTCTCGGTAAGTTGATCTATCAGTCACACTTGTTCAATGCAAAAAAAAATATTGCTGCTATAAAGTTTTATTTACAAATGTCTGTCTGCCAGTTACGCACGACAGTGTCCTAGTTAGGTTTTTACTACATTATATATTAGCAGTATTATTGTTTATTATTATTGTTGTTATTTATTAATATTAATACTTTGTTGTATGGTCCATATGAGTTTACCGCCTTTCCATTAATGCAATAATCTCGTGGGGAAGCACCAAACCCGTAGACGTCATACATTGATTTTATTTTATTTGATAGGCGTCATACAGCATCTATGGAATGGGAAATAATAGTTTACCTGGAGAGGGTTTCGGGGGTCAACGCCCCCGCGGCTCGGTCTGATACCAGGCCTCATGGTGGATCAGGGTCTGATCAACCAGGCTGTTACTGCTGGCTGCACGCAAACTGACGTACAAACCACAGCCCGGTTGGTCAGGTACTGATTTTAGGTGCCTGTCAAGTGCCTTCTTGAAGATAGCAAACAAGAGGACTCCACTAGCAATAGTGAGGATATATTACCAAAAACAACTGGTGGGAGCTCCATTGTTGGTGCTAGGGAGGATAGAAGACAGGGAAACATGCACCAACAGGGAATACAGTCACAGAAACCCAAGGCAAACGGAAACCAAGCCTGTGCACATACTATGCACTTGGTATCTGCTGGCATGGGAAATCTGGAAAAACAGATGGGACGTGCAACTATGACCACCCTAGAAAATGCCATGCCCATATGACAACAGGAAAATGCAAACTCCCTTCCTGTAAGCTTTTTTCACCCTTAACTGTGTACCTCTTCAGTACAGGAAAGACTGTGCTATACTTAAATTGCCAGGCATACCATCTAAAGGGGACAAAAAGATACAAAACATCCAGGCCATGGGAAAACCTGGGTAGCCACAGCCACTCAAGAGGGAGAGGTTTTTAGTGCCAGGAAGGAAAAAAAAACTGGCAGGAAATGGCAGAAATCGTACACCAAATCCAGTCATTCCTGGAGTGAAACCACAGTCGATGGCCTCCACTCCAAACCAACAGATACAGATACTAATGCCGGAAAAAAAATCCCCCCCCCCAGTACCAACAATACCACCAGTCCGATAACATTCTTCTTTGCAAATATACAGGGTCTAAAGCCAGCAACAAACAACAAAATACCATTCATCCGTGGACAGCTTGCAGATTCAAAGGCAAAGTTCGCGGCTTTCACTGAGACCCACATAAAGGATCATTTGGACAACGAAATATGGATCCCAGGTTACAACCTATACAGATGTGACAGAGTGAACAGGCAAAAGGGGAAGTTGGCCTGTACATTGCAGAGTCACTTGTTTGCACAGAACTGCTTAATGCCTCAAATGATGTAGTGGAAGTTTTAGCAGTAAAGGTCGAGAACCAAAACCTAGTCATTGTGGTAGTCTACAAGCCTCCGGATGCAACATCCCAGCAATTCCAGGAACAGCTGTTAAAAATTGACCACTGTCTGGAAAATCTTCCAGCTCCTGCACCCAACATCTTGCTCCTGGGGGATTTCAGCTTAAGGCACCTAAAATGGAGGAATATAGCAAATAATATTGTTGCAGTAATAACACCAGGAGGCAGCTCTGATGAAAACTCACACTCACACGAGCTTTTAAATCTCTGCACAAAATTCAATTTAAACCAGCAAATAATAGAGCCTACTAGACTGGAGAATACACTAGACCTCATCTTCACTAACAATGATGATCTGATAAGAAATGTCACCATATCAAAAACAATATACTCAGATCACAACATAATTGAGGTTCAGACATGTATGCGTGGAGCCCCAGACCGACATAATGAGACTAGTCACGAGGGAGCATTCACCAAATTCAACTTCAATAACAAAAACATAAAGTGGGACCAAGTAAACCAAGTCCTAACCGATATAAGCTGGGAAGATATACTAAGCAACACAGACCCCAACTTATGCCTAGAACAGATTAACTCGGTGGCACTCGATGTATGCACAAGGCTTATTCCTCTAAGAAAAAGGAGGAGTAGATGTAAAAAGAAAGAGACAGGCGCTCCCTTTACAGGCGACGGAAAAGAATAACAGAGCGGCTAAAAGAGGTCAATATATCTGAAATGCGTAGGGAGACACTGGTCAGAGAAATAGCAAGCATCGAACTTAAGCTAAAAGAATCCTTTAGGAGTCAGGAATCGCGGGAAGAACTAAAAGCCATAAATGAAATCGAAAGAAACCCAAAGTATTTCTTCTCCTATGCCAAATCAAAATCGAGAACAACGTCCAGTATTGGGCCCCTACTTAAACAAGATGGGTCCTACACAGATGACAGCAAGGAAATGAGTGAGCTACTCAAGTCCCAATATGACTCAGTTTTTAGCAAGCCGCTAACCAGATGAGAGTCGAAGATCAAAATGAATTTTTTATGAGAGAGAGCCACAAAATTTGATTAACACAAGCCTATCCGATGTTATCCTGACGCCAAATGACTTCGAACAGGCGATAAATGATATGCCCATGCACTCTGCCCCAGGGCCAGACTCATGGAACTCTGTGTTCATCAAGAACTGCAAGAAGCCCCTATCACGAGCCTTTTCCATCCTATGGAGAGGGAGCATGGACACGGGGGTCGTCCCACAGTTACTAAAAACAACAGACATAGCCCCACTCCACAAAGGGGGCAGTAAAGCAACAGCAAAGAACTACAGACCAATAGCACTAACATCCCATATCATAAAAATCTTTGAAAGGGTCCTAAGAAGCAAGATCACCACCCATCTAGAAACCCATCAGTTACACAACCCAGGGCAACATGGGTTTAGAACAGGTCGCTCCTGTCTGTCTCAACTATTGGATCACTACGACAAGGTCCTAAATGCACTAGAAGACAAAAAGAATGCAGATGTAATATACGTATACAGACTTTGCAAAAGCCTTCGACAAGTGTGACCATGGCGTAATAGCGCACAAAATGCGTGCTAAAGGAATAACAAGAAAAGTCGGTCAATGGATCTATAATTTCCTCACTAACAGAACACAGAGAGTAGTCGTCAACAGAGTAAAGTCCGAGGCAGCTACGGTGAAAAGCTCTGTTCCACAAGGCACAGTACTCGCTCCCATCTTGTTCCTCATCCTCATATCCGACATAGACAAGGATGTCAGCCACAGCACCGTGTCTTCCTTTGCAGATGACACCCGAATCTGCATGACAGTGTCTTCCATTGCAGACACTGCAAGGCTCCAGGCGGACATCAACCAAATCTTTCAGTGGGCTGCAGAAAACAATATGAAGTTCAACGATGAGAAATTTCAATTACTCAGATATGGTAAACATGAGGAAATTAAATCTTCATCAGAGTACAAAACAAATTCTGGCCACAAAATAGAGCGAAACACCAACGTCAAAGACCTGGGAGTGATCATGTCGGAGGATCTCACCTTCAAGGACCATAACATTGTATCAATCGCATCTGCTAGAAAAATGACAGGATGGATAATGAGAACCTTCAAAACTAGGGAGGCCAAGCCCATGATGACACTCTTCAGGTCACTTGTTCTATCTAGGCTGGAATATTGCTGCACACTAACAGCACCTTTCAAGGCAGGTGAAATTGCCGACCTAGAAAATGTACAGAGAACTTTCAAGGCACGCATAACGGAGATAAAACACCTCAATTACTGGGAGCGCTTGAGGTTCCTAAACCTGTATTCCCTGGAACGCAGGAGGGAGAGATACATGATTCTATACACCTGGAAAATCCTAGAGGGACTAGTACCGAACTTGCACACAAAAATCACTCACTACGAAAGCAAAAGACTTGGTAGACGATGCACCATCCCCCCAATGAAAAGCAGGGGTGTCACTAGCACGTTAAGAGACCATACAATAAGTGTCAGGGGCCCGAGACTGTTCAACTGCCTCCCAGCACACATAAGGGGGATTACCAACAGACCCCTGGCAGTCTTCAAGCTGGCACTGGACAAGCACCTAAAGTCAGTTCCTGATCAGCCGGGCTGTGGCTCGTACGTTGGTTTGCGTGCAGCCAGCAGCAACAGCCTGGTTGATCAGGCTCTGATCCACCAGGAGGCCGGTCACAGACCGGGCCGCGGGGGCGTTGACCCCCGGAACTCTCTCCAGGTAAACTCTCCAGGTATGTATGCTGGGAGGCAGTTGAACAGTCTTGGGCCCCAGACACTTATTGTGTTGTCTCTCAATGTACTCGTGGCGCCCCTGCTTTTCATCGGGGGAATGTTGCATCTCCTGGCGAGTCTTTTGCTTTCATAGGGAGTGATTTTCGGGTGCAGGTTTGGTACCAATCTCTCCAGGACCTTCCAGGTGTATATTATCATGTATCTTTCTCGCCTGCATTCCAGGGAATACAGATCATGGACCTTCAACCATTCCCAGTAATTTAGGGTTGATCTAAGGAAAGGTAGGGTAGCTCCAATATAATTAGGAACCCTTTGCCGGTATCAAAGCACCCCTTTCCCCCTTCCCTTGAAGACTGATCAGGTTGTAAGGCCCTAGGATTTGTGAAATAATTTCCTCAAGGAAGGTTCTTTGATGCTGTCGAAGGGTTTTTGATGCATTGGACTTACCCTTCCTTTTCCTTGGATGAAACCTAATTGCCTCCCAGTCCCAAGGTGCTATTCAAACCCACCGGTATAGGTTTATCAGTGCCCCATCACTGTAATAATAGATAATGTTAAATAATATACTAGTCTAAAACTTTGCCATCCATTATGTATAATACACCTGTGTATTAGTATTGTCCAACTAGTAGTAAGTATTACGTAAAAAGATGCAAGATGCTTCACTAGCATTTACACTAAACTTAAGAACATAATCTATAAGTTCCTTGCTTCTTTAGATATCACACTGTTTCTTAAAAACATATTCCTTACCGTACCCTTGCCTCTGAGACGTTAAACTCAACTTTCTTTATCAGATCATTTCTGCTTAACACTGAGAACCACACATTT